CATTAAACTTCCAACAAAGCTTTATAAATTCAAATCTAACATGTATAGCATCGTGTTTGGGAGACTTATTTAAAAGGGAGAATATCGTCTATATTTGTCCGGTCTAATTCAAAATATCATATTTACCCTTCTTAAACAATCAAAAATATCAAATTCATCCAAATCATCTTTTTAACTTTTTTAATCATTTTTTATATTTTAAAATAATTATTAGTAAAAGAAAACCTAAACGGACCAAATTGTCCCAGCCTACTAACATGAATATAGCATGGTGTTTGGGGTAGCTTATTTCAAAATCGACATAAACTGTATTCTCAATATAAGTATCTAAGAGTATTGAACTTAGTAATTTTAGTAATTTTATAGTAATTTATTTTTGTATTATATTTTATACATGTATCATCGGAGCAATAAGGGTTAATATATATTTTGTAAAAATATACAAATATGCCGGTGAATGAATTGGATTTACACGAGACATGTGATAATCCTAGTTCCGAGATGGATTGTGTATATTGATCGAAATTTTGACTAAATTTTAGAAATAAAGTAAAGTACATAGCCATTTTATATAATTGGCTACTAAGAGAATTTGATGTACAAGGATGACGTCGAGGAGGGACAAGTTTCTTGACGAACTCATATGAGGATTTAGTGCGGATTGTTGAGTTGATATAGAAGTGAAAACATAGTTATTTTCTAAGCGCACATCCCTATAGAACTAATTGGTTTACTTAGTTGTTCCATGTATTGGTTGTTTACCATTTGTATTCTAGTGGAGTCTTGATATACTATATTATGCGTACTATGTTGATATTACTGATATTGCATGTCATTGATTCTAATGTTATTGATGTTGCTTGCTGTTATTTCCATGCTTAGTACTAGTTGTGCATTCAGTTATCTTATATTGGGAGTGTATGAGATTTTGTTGTGAGTGGTCATGACCAATTAGGTGTTGTTATTAACTTATTATTGTTGATGTTGTTCTTTGTCATCGAGAGAGTACGACGACTACCACCGACCATTCTAGACGGGTCAGTGGACACTAGCGGGCTAGCTACCCATAGGTGTTAGGTGGACTTCCAATCGTTAGGGGCACTAGCAGTTAGAGACACGACACTTCTCGAATGAATTGGAGATTTTTTTAACAACTAAATGAATTCAAACATTGTTATTTAGGGTTATACTTAGGAGTCATGCTTTTTTATTAAGTGATGATTATTCATTGAGAAATCCCTTAGGAGTTTTTAAAATTAAACATTTGGTGTTAGTTTTTATGTTTTAAATTATATGTGATTTTCCATTGAAAATATTTATAAAAAAATTGGTTTTTAAAAAAGCATAATTTTTTACGACATAAAGCTCAAAAAATCGATATTAAATATACTTTCAATCTCCCAATTTTCAATGGTCGACTTTCAAAGAATAACCTTCTTCCACCCACCCCCCCCCCCCCCCCCCCCCCTTTTTTTTTTTGATTAAAGATTATTAAGGGGAAAAAAATCTTAGTATTTTATATACATCAAAAACTTAGTTATATTTATTATTGTATTAAATACATAAATTGAAATAGCCTTATGCGTGTGCGTGTTGAGTGAAGTTTCATGACGATGAAGCTAAGGAAACCAATATGTAACTTCTCTATGTCAAATTCTTGATTATGATGTATTTTCTAAACAAAAATATGACATCGTAACTGTATTTCTTATCATAAATTCATAATGCATATCTTTTTTTGTTTTTGTTATTTAACAGTATGTAGTAATAAATTGGTCGGGGTGGACGAATTGTGTAATTAATCAAAATGAGTAATTTTGAGTACCAGTCTAAACAAGTTGGGTTGTTTGAGTTGACTCTAAAATCCTTTTCTATTCAATATTTATTATAATTAACACAATCAAATATGATTAGAACATTATATTATTTAGAAAAAATTAATAAAGCGATTTAAGAGTTGTCAAATATGTGCTTCCTACTTGTTACCAACATCTACTTCTCTTGTTTGTGTATACTTTCTCATTCATGTTCCTTTCTATTTTCAGCCTAGTCTTATTTCTGTATATGTCTCTTTTTCCTTTGTTACACACTACTCGTTATTTCTTTTCTATGAGTTGTCGTTTCTTTTGCAGGAGATCACTCGGTGTAGGCCTTGTTTCTTTTCATGTCGGATTTATCTTCGAATTTTTTTTCTGTTGTTGACACCTTGCATTCCTCTTACACAATTATTATGAGACCAAGATACTTGTATTATTATTGTTAGTATTTGTAGTAAAAATTGTAATCAAAATATCTATTATGTTAAGATTTTATATTTTAGACAAATTAATCTATCATGCGTCCTCTTTTAGGTTATAAACATTGTTCTCCCTTTTAAAAAATACAAGTATATTTTGTCTACTGGTTTGTGACTGTTTAGGTAAAGAAGAGGTGGTGAGTTCAAATATTCCAAGTACCCTTTTTGTTTTTATTCCTTCTATCAATTGTTTTATAAATATAATACAATTGTGGTCATATTATCATTGCGCTTGTTCATAAATGAGATTTTATATCGTTGTATTTTAAGTTATAAACAAAGTTTTCCGTTTTAAAACATACAAGTATAGTCAGGTGTTGTTTGTTAATTGTCTGCAGATCTTTTTAGCCTCTTTTGTCTACGCCGCCCGGACCGTATACAGACATTAAGCTTCACAGACTGTTTATTTTTTTGAAGACTGCAGACCTAAAAAGGTATGCACATCATCTTATTAGTGCAAGATATGAATTAGAATCTTCAAACCTCTTTAGACATTTTCTAGCTTAAAAAAACAAATATATTTTTGTTTTTTTAAAACTTAGATTTATTCCAACTTTATCTATGATATATAATTTGGAAAAAAAGTTACAATACTTAAAGAAAAAAAAAGTTTGGCGACACAATCATAATCTTTGTGACAAATTTATAAATATATATTTAATTACAATAATATTTGTCAGAGCTGTTTATATAGATATGAATAAAAAATCATAATATTATCTTATTTTTTGTGCCAAATTTTATAAAACATTATTTAATGCAATATCATTCATTTTTTGGGAAAAAAATGTATACCCGGTTTTTAATTGAATTAATTGAACAAGTAAATGAAAATTTTGAAAATTTTCATTTAAAATTAAAGTTTATTTCCATCTATTTTATGTGTTAAATTCTTTTATCCTTAATTACAATGTTTCGGTATAACTTTACGACCAAAGTTTGTTTGTTTTTATCAAATATATACGTTAATTCATATCATTTTATTTTCTATTTTATACAATAATACATAAAAGTTAATATACATTTGTTAATTATCTATAATTAAGTCATAAAATTATTGATAACTCATTTTAAGTGTTTTTAAAAACATCAGTTTAATTAGATTTTAGTTTATTTCTAGCAGCATGCATATGTTAAAAAAACAAATAATCTTTTTCTTTCAGACTTTAGACGTTTGGTCCATCCTTTTCAACTGTAAAAATCTGAAGATGTAGTCCGCAGATTACAAACATTTTGCATCAAAAAAACAAACAACACCATAATCTTTTGGTTCCTAATTGTCAGAATAAAAAATGTATGAGTTTGAATCTTCCAAGTACCTTTTTAGTATTTGTTCCTTTTATCATTTGTTTTGTTTATAAGAGTAGTATATTTTCCATTTTTTTATCTTTTGCCACATTAAGGTTTTTTTTTTTTTTTTTTTTTTTTTCATAATTTTGGCCAAGATTTCCTTTTCTACCATTTGCTACATCCAATTTTTTCTATTTACAATTTTGAACGGCATTTCAATTTCTTTAATGAGTTTGATGCAAAATCTTTTCACAAAATTTCCAACTTCTTTTACAATATTGATTTTCCATTTCTTTACAACTTTGTTTCGTAGATTTTTATTGCAACTTATTGTTGCAGTTTTTTTTATACAAATTTAGCTTTTTACACAATTTTCCCACCTATTTATTTGTATTTACATATCATTTTTACAAATATGGAAAATTTTGTTATTTTTACATATTCGTGTTCAAAAAGAAAAAAAAACATTGTTATGTATAATTAAACCTAATTCGATTTAAATTATATTTTACTTATTATACACGCATAACTGTAACAACGATAGATTGTGCTACCCTTAGTTAGATACAAACGTTGCCCATAATGTTTTTTTCAATATGATGAACGTTAGAATTTTTATCGACTCCTCGCATTAAGACTGATATATGACAAACGATACCACAAATAAGACGGACTTAAAAGGTATAGATTATTAGATTATAAAATGCATCTTATCTTTTATATATTTAAATTTAACTGATCAATTGACTTTATTATTTCATCATCTAAAAACTGCTTAAACTAATACATATATAGTTAGGTTTGATTAAGAAACCGATTAAACTAATACATATACAGTTAGGTTTGATTTAACCTTGTATAATTAATATAAGCCTATATTACGTGTTTAATTCAACTATTAGCTTTTAACTGAAGCGATGGGGCATGTTTAATGCCGAGTTAAGTCGATGCATACACAAACATACCATGAAAGTACAATTTGGTCCCAAACTTTAAAAATCTGGTATTCTACAACACAAACTGAAAAAAAAAATCTTAAATAACAGAAAAAAGGAAAAAAAAAACATAGAAATTAGTGTCCAAAAGGCATCAATAGTTTATGATCGACTTTTTAATCCATTATATATTTTTTTTATTTAAGAAAAAACATTGAAACCCACCATTTAATGTAATAGACTTGCTATTTTTCGTTATTTGATGTAAATTTTACCTAACATGGTAAAAGATTACATAAAATAATAAGTTTGTTATACTAAATAATTAAAATTATGTACAAATCGGTAAATTGTTACGTTAAATATATTTTGAATTCGTTTGCAATTAACAGAAATAACAAAACAAAGATTTATTTATACCCAAAAAAAAAACCGATGGTTTGAAAAAAATATATTAATTCTTAGTTTCTTACCAAAACTCAAGCGTTCTCTGTAACATAACTCTGAGCTTCAATATAATTATTCCATAAATCAGTCACCATTGTAGTAACCATCTCCATCGCACCCTCCATCACCGCCGGAATATCTTCCACCAGCAGCTCAAACCCCGACCTCATCTTCTCCACCAACCCTCCGGCCGCCGCCCCAGTGGCAGTCACCGAACCAAAAATAACTTCTTTCACTAAATCAAAAGCTAACCCAACAATCTCACTCATCACCTCCATAATAATCCCAAAAAGGTACTCAACACAAGATTTGATCAGACCGGAGATCTGCTCCATTCCAGCCCGCAGTGCTTCTCCGGGGACTTTTAAACCTTGGATTGCTATTACGAGGAGGTAGGCTGTGACGTTGAAGAGCAGACGAGAAAGGAGGTTTGACATCAGGGTTATGGTGGAGAAGATGATGTTGATGAGGAAACAGATCCCCATTGATGAAAGCTTGAAAAACAGAGAGAAGAAGAAGAAGAAGAAGAATAGTTTAGATGAAGAAATTTTGGAGTCTGGTTTTTAAGGAATCTTGAAGGCATTGGTTGGATTTGTGGTTGACTAAAGACGTGTTATTAATTGAAGAAATTGTTTAATGGGATTTGAAAGTTGAATATAGGTTGATGATGTATCCATGGGATTATTATAAGGATTTTAGAAGGAAGACGTTGCTTACACATTTTGTATATCAGTATTTTCACGTTCAGTAACTATCAGAAAATTTACAAGAAACGAGAAAGTTTATAAAAGTTTATTGTAACTTTTAGTTTTGGGAAATTCTGATGAAGAGAATGCCCATAAGAAGTGAAGTTTACCTTGCAATTCAATCATAATTACTTACATGAATACATATATAACTATTCTCATAAAACAACTTAATTAAAAATACGTATCGACTAGTTTGCATAAAACGGTAAAAAAAATACGTATCATTTGTAGTTTGTACAGAATTAAAATTACCCTTGCAGATTGGACAAAGATGGCAAAGTTTCGAAACTACTGAGAGGATAAACAAATGTACGCGTGAAAGAGTCAAAGTCTAGAGAAATTATATAATTATTATAAGTAATATTATTCCAACTAATGAAGATTATAATATGAGTAGATTAAACCATAAATTATTAAGGGATGTGATACAAACATTAGAAAAACAAAACGAGTAGGTTAATTTGATGCCACCCACACGGATTTCAATTGCTTTTATCAATCTTTTATTCATTTTATCTTTTAAAATACTAATAAACTCATCAAAACATCGATATTATGAGCAATTCAAACCATGAAATTGTTGTTTTGGTCTTTTGTGTGTGAGGATGCATTTGGACCCCCACATTCTAACAAACTTAATCGTTTTTTGTTAACTTAACCCTGTCGTCTTAGGAAGAAGCTTGTTACGATGATGGTTAACTTTTCAAATATTTATTATTTTTGTAATGACAAAATTTTCACTAATATTTATTTATATAAAAAAAACTACTGTTATAAACCATTTCTAATTGTTAACTTTCTCATAACTCTTTTTTAGAAATTAACTTATTTATGTTTATTTTTCTTATATGTATATAAACTCTTATCCCATAAATTTTAATTTTTAAGTCTACATCATATTTTTTAAAAGTAATATTAGTTGATATCAATATTCTAATAAAAAATTGTTTGCTATGGTAAATTTTTTAATTTGATTATTTATATCATTTTGAAAATTTTGGCAATTACTATGAAACTTTTATAAAACATATTCAAATCTATTTGTATATTTAACTAAACAGATTAAAATAATCAAAAAATAGTAAAAAAATATATATCTAAATATAAAAAAGGCATAAATTAAAGTGTTATGAAATATAATTGCTAAAATGGACAAAACTTATCAAGAATTAAATGTTATAAACAAATTGTAAAATGCACCATCTGAATGTCTTATAAATCTTAGACCTCACATGTGGAACTTTACTCTCAACCATCAGACTTCAATGGTATTGGCTAAATGTTATAGTTTAGTAAGTAATTGTGATAATCTTTAAAAAATGCAAAAACTTATCCAAATAGTAAAGGGTTTAAATAATTAAAGCTGTATGTCATATTTTATCTATAATCGGTCTAGTGGGTAAATGCAAAATAAAAAATAATGGAAAAATCTGTCGCATGTCAAATTTCCATGAAAGTTACTAAATAATTTAACCTTATAAATTGTTTCATATAAAAAGTAAAAAAAGGAGTAGATTCAAACCCATTGTAAATCCCATGAATTTTCGTGGAAAATTTTAGCTCAATGATTTGAGCTTTTCCCGGTGACATTGTGTGGAATTTTAGCTTAAAGTTATTTTAATTTTCATATTTCAATATCTATTTTCGAAACACTATCGTGGGCCAATGATTAATGATTTTGAATCAAATAAATTAGCCTGGCCCAGTAAAGGTGAATGATAAGTGAAATAAGCCCAAAAACCGGTTTAAATTTTGAAACATAAAAACTCCCAAATTCGCTGCAAATTCTTACAATGGCGAGACCAATCTTACAGCAACGCTCTCTCGCCTCCACTGCAACGGCATTTCTCTATCTCCGATCAATCTCCACAGCCGCCGTTGTTGCGGCCCCAAACCCTACTTCCACCGTACCTTTTCCGTCACCACCATCACCACCGCAAAGCTTCAACCTCAGAACGAGAATTCCACTAGAGAAGCAATTCGAGACATGGCTCGAAAAGCTCAAACCCGGATTCACCCCATACGACGTGGACGAAGCCTTGCGTGCCCAATCCGACGCAGACCTAGCTTTCGATATCTTCCGGTGGACCGGACAACAACGTGGCTACAAGCACACTAGCACCACCTACCTCACTATGGTTCAAATCGCGGTCTCCGCTAGGCGTTACTATCACGCCGAAACCCTAGTTGAAGAAATTGTCGCAGGCGCGTGCTCTGGAAGCGTTCCTCTCTATAATTCCGTTATCAAATTCTGCTGTGGTCGTAAGTTTTTATTCAATCGCGCGTTTGATGTTTACAAAAAAATGTTGAATCACGAAGACACAAAACCGAATCTCGAAACGTATAAACTTTTGTTGGATTCTCTTCTCAGACGATTCAATAACGTGAATGTGTGTCATGTGTATTTGCGTGGAGTGAAATCGTTATCGAAACAAATGAAAGCTTCAGGGGTGATTCCTGATACGTTTGCAATGAATATGATCATCAAAGCACACGCCAAATGTCACGAACTTGAACAAGCAATTAGGGTTTTTCGTGAGATGACATTGTATGGAAATCAACCGAATCTGTATACATATTGTTATTTGATTCATGGATTATGCGAAAAGGGGAGAGTGGATGAGGGTTTAGGGTTTTATAAAGAGATGAGAGAAAAGGGGTTGTTGCCAAAAGGGAGCACTTTTATGATTCTGATCTGTAGCCTTGCAATGGAACAAAGGTTCAAAGATTCAATTCGTGTCATCAATGATATGCTGGATAATTCAATGGCACCTGATTTGTTGACTTATAAGACTCTTCTTGAAGGGTTGTGTAGGGAAGGTAGGGTTGATGATGCTTTTGATATTCTTGAAGAATTAAGGAAGAAAGATAGTTTTATGAATGAAAAGACATACAAGCATTTGCTTGATGGGTTGCATTATGTGAGTTGAAAGTAGGCATCGATAATTCCATTTTGCTTAATGAAACCTGATGTACAGTGACAAAATCTTGAGAAATGGTCTTTCTATCCTGCTGATTGGAGTTGAATCTTTGGATCAAATGACATCAAAAAATGTGGGGAAATGGCTGAATTGCTTGATGGGTGGAAGACAGGTTTCTCCTATGGCATATGCTTGTTGATGATGAGTCGACTGTGAAGTTAATACATGAGGTCCTGAAGATGCTTGTCAGTTCCTTTACTCGAGCTGTTTAAATTAGATATTGATGTATACAAATATGTGAGTATCGACTCTTATAGAAGCGCAACTGATGACACTGTAGAAGCAAAACTGATGACGCTGAATCCAATGTGGCAAAACTTCAGATTGCATCCAATGTCGCCAAGATGTAGCCATGGAAGAACATTTAGTTGTCATATTATAGTTTGTTTGTTATTTCATTTTTAATTTAAGTTGAAATTGTATAGCTTTATGTTCTTATGCAACTTATAAAAAATGTTTTTTTGGCAATACAATACTTTTTGTTTACCATCATGTCATGGTGTCTTGGTTAATACTTAGCTAAGGAGTGGTGCCGCCCCTTGCCATCCATAATGGCTACCATGTAGCCGCCATCTCACCTCAAACTCAAATTTTCAAATAATATCAAAATTAAACTTTATAACATTAAAATTAAAAATTACAATATGTTGATGTTAGGTCCATTGGCATGCCCTATACCGTCTCACAAAACTAGCCCATGGCTTTAGTTAATTGTTATTTGACCTAACCTTATAAAATAGAAACAAAACTAGCCCATGGCTTTAGCTAATTGTTATTTGACTTAACTTTATAAATAGAACACTTTCTCCTCTGTGAGGAGGGATACCTAATTCTTAGACACAAGCCTCCATTATACACATGCATTTCCCCCACCAAGATGGTTCTTTCCAGCCATGAGAAACCATCTCCTGTTACACAACAATCTAGATTGATCGCCGAAGCTTGTTCCCAGGGCACAATCTTTGGTGCGGTTATAACAGTTTTTCTCTATGGTGGCTGATAAGAATCAGGCTTGGAACTCGTTAACGACATATTTCTCAGATCGATCCACAATGTAAAGTCCCAAATTTCAAGGCAAAACTTTCGTTTTTTAATTTAAATAAAAGAAACCATTTTCATAAGGAAACATCATTAAATCATTTTTTCCAAAAGTTTACATCCCAAAAATAAGAGTATGATCATAAATGCGGAATCTCTAAATACGAAAGTTGTCGATGTGTGTACATTTATGTCTTCGTCTTTTCATGATCATCTGAAGTATCTGAAACATTTAATCCATAACTGTAAGTCAAAGCTTAGTGAGTTTCCCAAAATACCACACACCATAATATACATACAGGCATACAAACATTGGTCTCCGGTCTACGCTGGTCTCCCTTGTCTGCAGCATAAAGTTGGTTCGTCTCTGGCCTTCAGCATAACGTTGGTCCGCCTGAGTATCTTGGTCTACCGCACAAAGCAGGACTGCCCTCAACCCACCACAAAACATATGTCGACATATAACAAACATACAATCAAACAACCCAACAACACAAGCAACTGCCTAAACTAGTCTACATGCTAACCGCTTACTACAACACGTTCACATCATACCAAGGGCTCATACTACACTCTACACTACAACTGGCAGATTACCAAGTTGATGCATAGTTGTATGTAATCAAAGATAAGATAGACAGTTGAACATATGATCCTACTCTAAAGCCACAACCAAACAAGGTGATAGGTTTTGGGTAAAACAAATAAACTAGAAAAAAACAATTCCTAAGTTCACATGCAACCTACTTTGGATCTATGTTTTAACTATTGAACATATAACTTTGAATTGCAAAACAAGAACCCTAAGAGAGGAGGTTATTTTCGAAATTAACCAATTAGGGTTTTAGAGTTACATACCCTTTCAATTGTTATAGTAAACAATTGGTAATCCTTTTGATCTTGATATTCTTGGAAGCTTAGCACCACAAATGCAATGCCTCTATATGGAATCACACCCAAGAGCTAGCAAGAAGGAAACTTATGAGGAGAGAGGCTAGGGTATGCAATTTTCGGCCTAGGTTTTCTTCAAGAGAAGGAGTGACCGATTTTGGGAGCCAGAGGCCTCCTTATATAGCTGAGGTATCTAGGGTTTAAGGAAAACCCTAATGTTCCTTTGCTTAGAGCCTAAGCTTATCCAAAGGCCTTATCCAAGCCCCTTGGACGAAATCATTAGGGTTTCCCCTATAGATTTCGTCCACCCCCTTCCAAGGAGGTTCTGGAACCTTCCACACAACTATTGGATAATTGCAAACCAGTCCCTGCACTTTATAATTAATATAGTTAACCTCAAAATCAATTCCAATTAATTTCTGGCTAACTATTAATTAAACATTATGATTTCTAATTAATATATTAATCTTTTAACATATTAATAAATCATTATATGAATTTATTAATCTTATAATAAATCCAAATCTCTCCTTTCATAATTTCCTTGTTCAGTTGCTAGGTTTGAGGGCAACCCAAAAGGATTGTGCTGCTATCAATTCAAGTACATACCAATTATAGTTATGGGCTTAGACACCTAATCCAACACAAGGAACATGCAGGAAAGTCTAGATCAAGATTTCTCAGACTATCTTCCATGAATACATACAACCTCTATGTTGTTACGTAGAATTCGTCTAATGAACTCCGGTATTGCCCTACGATGCCTAAGTCAGATAGTGCTTTGTGCATTGTAGAAATATGTTGCTTGGAATTGCCTCCCTTTGAGAGACGGTATTACCTTTTTTTATCTAATAAAAAGTTAAAAAAAATATAAAAATTCATAATTTTTTTTCTCTACAAATAAGGTATAATATTGACATACTTCAATGCCCAATCTCGATTCTCTATTTCTAATCTCTTTTGAATTCATATTTTTCTACAATGGATAATTTGTATCCAAATGTTTATCTGAATCTTGGAGACTCTCAAGCTTTCCCGAGTTCCCCATACTATGAAAACCCTTCGTTTTCTCCAAATCTAAATCAAGTTCGTATCATAGAAAATCTCCAAACATCACAACATACCAAAAAACAACCACAAGGCAATAAATGGGATGCCGCGGAAGATATCGCTTTAATGCCAGCATGGTGTTTTGGTAGCGAGGATAAAAAGCGTGGAAAAACCTGAAAAAAATCATCATTGTGGGCACAAGTAAAGGAACTGTATGATGTCGCTCGGGCTGAAAATCCAGAAAAGCTTAACAGCAGGAACGAATATCGGATAAGAGGTCATTTCAAACGACTTAGCAAAAATGCCCAAAAGTGTGTTGGTGGATATCGGGAAGCATGACGCCGAAGAAGAAGTGGAATGAGCCAGAAATATATTAAGAATGAAGCTCATAAACTTTATGAGGCAAGTGGGAGTAAGTTTAACAATATTATTGTTTTTAATAAAGTTATGTGTAAGCATTAGAAATGGGCTTTAGAGTTGGAGCGTGATGCAACGCATTATCTTCCTGAATGTGAAGTGGATAACGAAGAAAGTGGTGGTAACACGAAAAGATCAAGGACTGCTGAAGAAAGAGATTATTCCAACCCATAAACACCAACAAGTGGTGGTTCAATGGTTAAACGACTAACATGTAGATATGCGGCTAAAAAAGAAAAAGGTAAGGTTTCTAATGAAATTGTTGCAGAACTTTGTGCAATGAGGTTTTCTAGAGAAAGTGAACTTGAAGTCATAAACAAAGACTCGACTTGTATCAAGAAAGGGAATAAAAATTGGATGAAAGGGAACTGATGAAGATGCAACTTGTGCATCTAAACACACTGCTACAAAAGGAGCATTTGTCGCTTGAAGAAGTAAATATGAAATATTTTCTAATGTCGAAGTTTTATGGAAACTAACTGTGACAACTGATAAAAACTTTGGAGTCAACAAAAGTCAACTCGACCAATATTAAAATTTAGGTTGAATCTTGATGCTCCCTAATGTACAATTTCCACGTATTTATGTGAAATGCCCTTCGTTTTGTCGACTTTTGAAATCAAGACCCTATTTTGGGTTTACAACGTTAATTTCAAAAACACCAATATGTATTATTTTGGTATAAATAATACTTTCAACACCTTAGGCTACTATCTTTATTAAGAATGGTCTTTTCATTTATAAATTGAATTTTATGATCCACATTGTAACACCCATAAAATTCGAGCCAAATTAAAACTTTTTAAAGCATTTAAAACCATTCAGTTATTACAATTTGTTTTCAAAATATTTTAAACATCAGAGTTCGCAGAAATCATAATCATAAATCGAGGAAGTTTACGGTCACACCTTCGCCTTCCCGCGGTCATCCGTTGTACCTGAAACAATAATCGATAAATGTAAGCTCGAAGGCTTAGTGAGTTACCCCCAAAATACCCATTCACACAACAATACACATACAATAACAAACAACATACTATGGGGTCCAATCAACCATCAGGTTGGAATACCCCAGGCCCTCAACCATCAGGTTGGAATGCCAACATACTATGGGTCCAGTCAACCATCGGGTTGGAATGCCCATATACTACGAGTCTAATCATCCTCGGGATGGAATACTCTCGGCCCACAACCATCGGGTTGGAATGCCCATATACTACGAGTCCAATCATCCTCGGGATGGATTACTCTCGGCCCACAACCATCGGGTTGGAATGCGCATATACTACGAGTCCAATCATCCTCGGGATGGAATACTCTCGTCCTACAACCATCGGGTTGGAATGCCCATAACCAATCAAACATGTGCACCTATATCAGATAATCATATAACAGTCTATAGAGACAACATACTGGGGTCCTATCATCTTCGGGATGGAATACCCTCAACTACCAATCAATCATGTGCACATATAACAGGTAATCTCCTACCAGCATACAGAAAGTCAGACCAAACTACAGGTCACTAAGCATAACCGTCCTATCTACCAGGATATCGGTCTAACCTATCATAACAACAACAATCTGAGTAATAATTCAAAGGGCCGACCTTGGTGCCTTAGACCCTTGGGTATAGTGAGGATAACTCACCTCGCAATGTCGATCTGAACTGAGGAATCGAACTCCCGAATCGCTGTCTCACCAAAAATCCCGAACTATTCAAAATCAAGAATATTAAGTCAATAATTGGGAATACAATCTTGACCAAGAGTCCCACCTATGATAATAGTCCATTTTGCCTTTCTCTAATTTGGGCCAAGGCCCCATACCAAATCCATTATCCACAAGTCCACATATACAAGGCCATCATTGGCCCCAATTTTCCAATTGGGCCTCATTCAAAGGGCTCACTACCAAAACTAGCCCAAAATACTCTTATCCAGAGGGCCCATCAAGGCCAAGTCCAACTAGTCCAAAGGTGGCCCAATCCCGAAGCCCAAATCGCAAAAGCCCAACAGGGGGTCGTACGTTGGGCGTACTCTCTGGTACGCGGGGCGTACTTCATCTCGCGTT